GAGGGTGGAAAGCTTTTTGTTTTGTTTTTAAAGAACAGGATCGGGAGACTTGGCAATCCCAGTGAACAATTTCTGAAATGACATGTTCAGAAATGAACGGAGCCTGACGGGAAAAGAAGACAATGTCCAACCTAAGAACAGCCAGTACAGAGGTGCATATTTCCTTCTCAGTGCGTGAAACCCTGAATTGTAACTTTTTGCAGGCTCTGGGATCAAATAACCAAAGTTCAGCAGTGATTCCTAGGAAGGATCCACGGGACTCAGTACCCACACATACGTTTATGAACCCGGGACAGAGGGACTCCTGAAATGCAATCCCTCTTCTATCCCAGCTGCTTTTAAAGTGGGTCTCTACCTGCCGTTTCAACACAGGTTTTCCTGACAGCCTGCAGGCTATGGTGAGGTGGCCAGAAGTTAAATCTATGAGCTCTGAACTCTTGGAAATCGTCACCATCCCTGCTGCATGGACATCTGGAAAGTTCACTCCCCCAGAAAACATTTCTAGAGCAGGACTCCAAGGTCCAGCGTCACTCCAATCCAGAAATCCCTGGCTCCCCTCCAGGTGCCCCAACTCCTGATTTGTGCATTGGTGACCCTTGACTTAAGAGGTGTGGACACTGGAATGGACCAGCTGCAACACCACCCACCGGCTGCCTAGCCAGTCTGTTTCCAGATGTGACACAGAGCCCCGCCTCCAGCTGCAGACTTCTGAGAACCACCCTTTTCTTTATTGTGATTTCTCTGGAGTGCCAGTTATCAAAGGCATACACAACTATGCCCGACTCCCCTGGGGATTGTATGAATACATTAATTTAAACAGAATGGGGATTTGGTTGCCATATTGCCCAGTCCAACTGTTCCATTTCAAAATCACAAAGTATAGGTGTATCACTTACAGGTGACTAAAGGTGATGTTTATGTTCACACCTACAAACAGCTGGGCTCCAGGGCCTGGGTGGTGACTGAAATTTCTGTTATCACGTTGTGTATGGGTAAAAACAGATTCATCCCACACTGTTTTTTACCAGCAGTGACATTTCCAGGAATATAACCCAGGCTAAATTCAAGGGCTTCCTGCAGTTCCAAAGCCTCGCTATCTGCAGTGCATGGCTGGCTGCCTTTCTGGTTTACTGAGCTCTCAGGGTATCTGTGGGTCCTGGCAGTTTCCTAAGGGCAGGTGGCCAGGGAAGAACCTGGCTTCATGGGGCCCTCTTAAGAAACAGAGGACAGAATTACAGTGGTTCTGGGACTGGAGATGTAATTTAGTTAGCAGTGTAATTGCCCAGCATGCATGAGGCCTGGGTTAGATCCCCAATGCCATAAAAAAATAAAACAAACAAATAAACAAAATAAACAACAAACTACAAAGAAACAAAGCACCACAGAATCAACTCCACTGGTAGATTTTCTTTTTTAATTTTTAAAATTTTATTTTATTATTTTTATGTGTGTGGGTTCTTTGCCTGCTTGAATGTCTATGCACCACTAGCAAGCAAGCCTGGTGTTCCAGAAGGTCAGAAAAGAGTATTAGATCCCCAGGAACTGGAGCTATGGATCTGCCCCCCTTCCCCCCCCCCTCACTCCCCGTGTAGATGCTAGAAATCAAACCCGGGTCGCAGCAGTGATTTGTATCTAAGGAGTAGACAGAAAGCTACAGAAAAGTACTTGAGCATCGGAAATGCAGGTCCTTTTCTTTCCATGGCCCTTCGTTCAATTTATCACAAACACCTACATTAAAGTGTTCCCACTTTGTAAGCTGGCTTTCCCTCCCCACCAAAAAGCTCTACAAGTCCCACCTTTTGCAAGCTCCTGGTGCTCCGAAGGTGCTCTAAACAGCTTTAGCATCACCACGTGCATGCCTTGGGCTGAGTTGCTATGATCTTTTCACTAGCTAGTCCCTAACAGCCAGAGGGCAAAGCCAGGCCCTGGTGTGGTGATTTCAATAAGAATGGCCCCCATATTTGGGCACTCCAGGGAGTAGCACTCTTTGAAAGGACTGGAAGGCTTAGGAGGTGTGGCCTTGTTGGAGAAAGTGTGTCACTGGGAGTGGGCTTTGAGGTTCCAGAAGCCCAGGACAGGCCCAGTCTCCCCTGCCATCCATCCCCTGCCTCTCTGCTTGCAGATACGGGTGTAGTAGCTTTTAGCTATTTCTCCAGCACCAAGCACCACACCAGCCTGAACCGTTCTCATGGTAATAATGAACGAAGCTTCTGAAACTGTAGGCAAGCTCCTAATTAAATGTTTTCATCTGGAAGAGTTGCCTTGATCCTGGCATCTCTTCACGGGGCAACAGAACGGTGACTAAGATAACTGGGGAGCCGGCATAGGGGTGCAGAGAGCGGTGGACACTCCAGCCAGCACATTTGAAAGCAAGGTCTATCCAATCACCCTGCATGAGTCCCACACTGAAGCCGACTGCTCTAGGGTCTCACTCCCGAGGTAGTTGAGTCTGTGGTGGAACAAAAGCTCTCCCCTGAGGCCCCGCCCTATACTTCCTGAGATGGGAACTGGGCAGAGGTCCTTGAAAGGGAAGAAAGCCAGCACATTCCAGAACCCCTCCTCTGTCCCGGCTCAGCTCCATGGCATTCTCCTTATATGTTGTATGCTGAGGCTCTAGGCTCCTCTCCTTAGAGCCTCCAAATACACAAGCAGCACACCCGCCAGCTCAAGGTGCTGATCCCATCACTAAATAGCCAAGTGAAGTTGAGCCAAGGATTATTTCTAGGGGTACGTAATCCCAACATCCCTCTCCTGAGACACTCTAATGTTCTAGAGTCTTAGGCTTCCTGGCAGGACAATGTACTTACTAAGCCCAGAGATTAAACTTGGAGGGCAAAAGGTCAATAACAGAGCCATTAAATCCTCTGCGTAATTACCTACATGCTTCCAAAGGACTGTACATCGAGTCCCCATCTCGTCCCAGGGAAGCATCTGCCTGAGAACAGCAGCATCGCTGGTAGAGGTAAGTGGATCTCCATAAATTCAGGGAAAGCCTGGTCTACTAGTGTGTTCCCAGCTACTCTTTTGTGACACTGGGCTGCATGCATTGATGGTGACCTTGTCTCAGCTAGAAGGCCTGAGCAGTCCAAGTGTCCTCATACAGTGGAACCAGGATGTATCCCTGGTGCACAAAAGGACTTTGGGAGCACATTCCCCATGGAGGGATACTCCCTTAACCTAGAGGCAGGAGGGAGGGCCTAGTCCCTACTCCAAATGACTTGACAGATTTAGATGACCCCTCCTGGAAGGCATCACCCTACATGTAGGGTGGAGGGGGGGATTGGAGGGGAGGGTGGTTGGGGTGCATGTGAGGGTGGGAGAGAGTGAAAGGAGGGAGGGAGGGAAGGAGAGGGAACTGGGATCGATATGTAAAATATAATAATAATAATAATAATAATAATAATAATAATAAAGAAGGCTTTTTTTTCAATAAAAAAAGACTGAAGAATGGCTCCTTGCAAGTGTCTCATAAGCTCAGGCTGGAAAGCTTGCGGCCAAGTTTTGAACCCTTCCACTCGCGTAGGCTCTGCCAAGTGCTCCTTACAAAGGCTGGAGCACTTGCCCTCCGGCCTCCCTGCTCCATGTCTCTGGAGCTGCCAGCCTCTGGCCTCTCTTTATCCTAAATCACAGTGTAGCTGGCCACACATGAACGCCTGAGCCCAGAGTTTCAGCGCTTGATCCCAGGCTCTCCCTCTGCGTAACTGAAGCCATACTACTAATGCAAGTGCTGTCAGGATGAGGGCTCACGTTCCACCTGCCCCCAGCCTCCATTCTCCAGCCTGCTTGTGTCTGCTTGTGACGAGAACTGTGTGAAAACTTGCAGCCTCTGAATGTCCTCCCCTTCCCCTCCAGGTAGCCCATTCCATTTTGCTTGCCTCAACTTTCCTGCCTCCCTGGTCCCCGTTTTCTCAGCCAGTTTAAATCCTCTCCCTCCAGCTGGGCTCAGCTGGAATCTCAGCTCCTCCATAAAACCTCCCATGAATAACCGGAGCCATAATGGCATTTTCTTTCTGTGTTTCTATGGCACCTTCCATTGCCTTGAAATGCTAAAATTTGTTTCATGTACTTCCAACTTGTTCCTCTCAGCTCCCGCAGGCCATTATACCCCACAGCAGGGGTGGCGGATGGAGGCCTGGGAGTAGTTCTGCAGGAATTTAGTATTCACTTCTTGGATGGGTTAAGGGGCCAACTCCTCCATCTATACAGAACTTCAAGTACACTTTGCAAGCCTGCAGGCATGGCTGTCCCTGCTGGTTGTATGTACCCTTAGAAAAGACAGGACCCGGGAGGTCTGTGTCTGGCCAGGGGCACTGAGCTGAAGCCCTGGGTCAAGAACGGCAGCCAAGGAGGCCCCTTGGTGTGCAGAAGTCCCTGTACCTTGTGCTCCATCTCCTCTCTTACTGCTTTTCCAGGCTGTGATCCGGCATGGCCTGCTAAGAAGCTGAGCTCTGGTGTCCACACTGCAAAGACTTGGGCCGGAAACCTTCACTGCAGCGGGAGACCTACTCCTCTAAGCCCTAACGTGTGGAAGTGGCCCTTATTTTCCAAGCCACCAAGCAGTAGCCCAGCAGCCTTTTCTGTTTGCATGGGGTCTCGCTCCACTTCCTAGTTTCATGGCTTTGTGACGGCCAGCCTGCAGGTGGAGAACCTTACAGCCAAGTGCCTGTGTGGTTCTGTCAGTTCCTACTTCAATCCCGCTGAGGCTGACCCCCATAACTAAGTAAGTAACAGGAGGCTAGAGCAGCCTATTCTGAAGGCATCGCTGGGAAGTCTACTCCCCCCGTTAGCAGAAGAGCCACCAGTGCCCACGGACAAACTCACCCACTGTCCTTACCCACCGTTAACTTGGGGAGGGTAGCACCGTGCAAAACTGTGGTGACAGCCACAGCTGTGCCTATGAGCCACGCCTGTCCTACAAGCTGAATTCCCCATCTGTCCTTCTGGCTTTTGCAAGAGGGTCGGAGGGAGCATCATCAGTAATGCCATTCACTTCTCCCCTGAGCCCCAAGCGCTATGCCCTTCTCCCTGTCTCCCACAAGCCTTGCTCGAGTCTTGATGCAGAAGAACCGCTCCAACTACAGCATCGGGCCCCACCCAACTCCTTCCTCTAGGGTGTGTGCTTGGGAAGCAGAAGGGGCTTCTGGCCACTCAGGAGTTAAAATGGCAGCGGGACCGGAGGGGGTTGGCGTGGCAAGCAGACAGGGAGGAGGCGACCAGAGTGGGCTGGGGAGGTTGGGAGCGCGGCGGAGCAGCTAGTGAGGAGGACGAGCGCGAGCAGCCGGGAGGGAGGAGGCGCGGCGGGGGCGCCGGGCGCCGCGGGCCTGCTCTGTGCTCGGCAGACGCGCGGCGCTCCGGGAGCGCCGGCCCTGGCCGCCAGCCTCCGGCCGCGGCGCGCAGTACTGGGGACACCTGCCACTCCCCTGACGCCCTCACAGGCTCGGCATCGCGACCACTCCCAGGACAGGTGCAGGTTGGGGAAAGAAGCCCCGCCAGCTTCCCGGGCCTGGGTGGTGGCGCGTCGCGGAGCAACGTCCCCAAGCCGGGAGGCGAGCGACAGACATAGGACGGCTGCCGCGCGGTGAGTGTGCGGCTGCCGGGCGGCCGGGGTCGTGGACGCCGAGGCCTCTGGCATGGCCGTGAGGGTCGTCGCGATCCAGTCCCGGCAGCTCGGGCTCTGCTGACCGTGTGGGGGAGGGGAGCGCGGCCGCCACCGCCACCGCCACCGCGGCGGTCGCCAAGATGCCTGCAGGAAAGCTGATGACTTGGGAGAAGGCCGGGAGGGACGAGGGAAGGAGAGCTGGAGAATGCAAAGGAGGTGGCCCCTGCACCCGCTGGACCCGAGCGGCGCGGGAGGGGGTCGGGGCCTGAACCTACCAGGAGAAGCCCGCACCCCTCAAACTGTTGCTGGGCAGGGGGAGCCCTGGAGATGTGGAAGAGCCAAAGAGGTGGCCCCGGGGTTAGAGAGGGCGTGACAGAGGCGGACTCTCAGGATGGAGACGCACCAGAGCCTAGGGGACTTTCCCTTCCTGCGAGCTCGGGTGGTGGCCGTGTGGCAGAGACCGGGATGGCCTTGGTTGGGTCTGTTCGAAGTATCTGGCACCGAGAGCCAGGCTCCTCTCGGATGGGAGACTGGGGTCTGACTGCAGTCTGGGATGGGACATTTGGGTGGGGGAGGGGCTGGCCGGGCTTAGCCTGGGCGCTGTGCGGTTTGAAGCAGCTCCGAGGCCACCGCATCACGGCAGGCTGGGCTGGCCAGCCACAGGTGGGCCGTCTGTCCTGCTGGCATGACAGGGCTGTGCGGGCGGGCTGGGCGGGCGGGCGGCGGGCGCAGGCTGCCCAGCCAGCCCAAAGCCGCGAGCGGCGGGGTGAGGCGGCTGAACTGGGATGCTGAAGAGGTGGGGAGAGCTGGACCCCCGGAGAGGGCCCTGGTAGGGTGTTACAATGCTCCCGGCTGCCCCTGCCCTCCCTCCCCCTACCAAATGAACAGGAAGGAAAATGTCAGCTGGGCTTTGTACTCTGTTCCTCAGGCTGCCGCAGCTCCCATCTGTTGAAGCCAACGCAGCTTCTAATTGGGCGACTGGCAGGGCTTGGAGGGGGTGGGCTGGGCACAGCGCTGGCTGTCGCTGGTTGCCAGAGATGGACTGGCAGGGTCCTCTGCTTGAAGACCCTAGGAGGAGTGGGCAGCGGAGAGAGAAACCAGGTCAGGACAGCAGGAGCGGCCTCTTGCCAGCTTCTTCATCATCGTCGAAGGGACCAGAAGCAAAGAGCTTGGGTGTCTTTACATAGCCAGAAAGATGGCAGGCTCCGTGCCCCCCGCCTTGACATCTGTCTGGCCAGTGTTCTCTTTCTGAGGGAGAAGGCCAGCAACCTCCTATCAGTGGCTCACTGAGCAGTCCTCCAAAGAGCAGAGATGGGCAGGGCTGAGTGCAGGATGCAAAGCTCCCCCCCCCCTTGGCCAATGGGTCTTCTTCTTACCAGAAAAAGCCACATGTGGATGGCTTGACCCACTTTCCTGACCAGGAGATGTTGTGAAGAAGGGAGAGAAAAGGCGCAGAGCTAGGGGCCTCTCGGGCCTTCTTCCTTCCCTACCCTGCTTCAGATGTTTTCTGCTGCCCCGGCTAGGGGTGCCTGGGGCCTGGGGTAGAACATTATATGGAGAGGGTGCAAAGGAAAAGACTGGCATTTCAGGGATTTTCACACTCCCGGGGTCCAGCAGCTAGAAGCCTCCCCAAACCCACATCCCCTGACAGATACTGCCTACCCTGAGGGAGACACTGAACCCAGAGATCGGAGCCTCTTGCAACCAAGCTAGGCCTGCAGACCACTTGCTAACTGCCTGTGCCGCCCCTTCCCTCCCATCCTTCCTTTACTCTTCTTCCTCCATCAAGCACCTCCCTTCGCCCTCACCCTACTCTGCTCATCTCTCCCCCTCCTCCCCCTCCTCTCCAAGTCCCCCCCCCTTCCTTCCAGGTCTCTACCTCCACCTTCTGTAAAATGCAGCTTAAGCCACAAGCTAGGCACACGATGGCTCCCTCTTGACAGTGGGAGCTGTTGTCCCTGGCACACCCCCTTTAGAGAGGGTACCAGGATGGCAGGTCTTGTCCCTGGCGTCCGCAATGGCCTGACATTCACTCACTTGCTCATCCTACTCTGTTCCCTCATTTCTTTTATTTGAAGGAGAAAGGGAAAACTTGAAAACTTGTCCTCCTACTTAATTGAACACCTACTATGTGCCTAACACTACTTTAAGAGTGGAGGGTGCAAACTTCCGTGTCACAGGCAGGGTTGAACTTGTACTTGAGCGTGACTGTTCGCTAGTTCCATGCCCACCAGTTCCTTTCAAAGGTTTAATGGGGGGAGAGGAGGAGCAGGGATGATCCTAGCATATTAATAACACGACGCAGAATGACCCTTAATCTCATTGCTTACCATATAGGATGTTCCACTTCTAAGCTGAAAGGAGAGAGCAGTTTACGTACCATCATCTACCTTGCGGGCCTGGGCTGTGGAGAAGGCAGTGATTTGTGCAAGGAGGGAATCAGGGGCGGCTTGGGAGAGGCAGCTGCCCTGCCCCAGCTGTGTGAGGAGTGTTACAGAAACCACTGTATTCTGTCCTCCTGAAGAGCTGTCATAGTCCCTGCTTCCTAGCTGAGGAGTCTGGGCACTGCCCTGGGCTGTTTTGTTGAAACCACCGCAGTCCAGTTGGCTCTAAGCACGTTTATGACGTCTGCTAAATCCTACAGTCCAAATGAACTCATATTTGCCTGGCGTTTTCGGGGGTGTGTCTTGTCTCTCCACTTAAGAGTACAGGCTATATTTGCTGATTCTCACGTGACCCGGGAGTGCTTTCTACAGGAGTGAAGGCAGTGCAGAGGACACGGGGAGGCAGAGAATCTTCTGACCTGCACGTGTGACGAGCTGTCACCAGCAGCCACTTCCTCCATCTTCCTCCGGGGTTAAGAGTGAGGGGGCATTGCTGTGTTCACCTGAGGTCAGTGTTGGAGCTGCCGCCCGTCTGTGGGCAGCTCCTGTTCTTACCCTCCTCGGGTTAGTCTTCACTGTCACAGAAGCCCAGAGACCGAGAAAGGGGATAGGTAGCTTAGGGGCAAGGACTGCGGGCCAGGACAAGGTCAGTGGTCAAGGCTGGCAATGGATCCACAAACAGGAAGAAGACAATGGGAGATGACACCTTCAAAACAAACACCAGGGCATGGAAAAATAGCCACGGCAGGACAGGTCCTGCTGCAGGAGTATGTGACTGGCCTCTAAGAGAGGGCAAACCAGAGAGGCGCCTTTTGCTCTAGACTTCCTGGGTAGCAGAGGTGTCTCTAGGTCTAATGCACAGGCTGAGGTTGTGTGGTGTTTGTCTCATTCAGGCTTTACTTGTTCGGTCAGCCCCTCTTCCCTAGAGCACCTACTCGGTGCAGAAACAGACGAATCGGCTATCATCGGCCCTCAGGGAGCTCACATTAAGGCTGTAGAGTAGGTAGAGCCACCTGTCCAAGTTCTACCCAGGCTGTAGTACTTGTTGCTGGGAGACTCTGGGAAAGTCATCTGACCCCTCTGCAGCTCAGTTTCCTCGCCCATTAGTGGTTTGGTTTAGTACCGACTTCATAAGAGCAGGGGACTCAGGGCAAGGAGCCCAGAACAGTCTCTAGAATATAGGAAGTACTATATACATTGTTATTATTATCAAGGAGCCAGTGCTGTGTGCTTCAGGGCTAAAGAGAGGAGGCTACTCCTCATCTGCAGACTAGAAAAAGACTTGCTAAATTGGGGACAAGGCCTGAAAAGGGGCCAGCTAGCAGAGGTGTAGGGCCTCAGGACAGTGTGGCTGAGGGTATTTGGGGCACAGGAATTGTCTATGAAAATGCACTGAGGTGTGTGTGTGTGTGTGTGTGTGTGTGTGTGAGCTGTCCTTTATGGACATCTCTGGTACCACTTAGTGTCCCTCTTCTGCCTTTTTATTCCTAGTGCTAGGAGCTGGACTTCTAGTGGACTGGCTAGCTGCCCAGAGCAGCCCCACACCCCTCTAAAAGAGTGGGCTGCCACGCAGGGGCCTGGTGCAGCCCTGCTGCGTTTGGTTGTGTGACCTTGGCCTCCCACGCATTTCTAAGCCATCCGTGCCCAGATTCTGCTGTAGCCTAGGCCTTGTCCTCTGGCTTTCGGTCCTTCCTGGGGACCTGGGAGATGCCTCGGTCTTGGAAAGCTGCTGGAGGAAGGAGTTTAACCAGGGTCTGCTTTAGAATTCAGTTTGTCTCTGTGTGTTTCTTCCGCCCACATCTTCCCTGCTGTTCAGGGTTTGATGGACTTGAAGCAAGTGCCAGCATGAAGAGAAGGCACAGAGTTCCTGGGGCAAAAAAAAAAAAACTGATCCTCAACTTCCATCCCTCCGCCTGTAATGACACATTATAGCACTTGTGGGCCAGGCATGGGGCAAAGCACTTTTCCTGTGTTGTCCAGCTACACCCCAAATGCCTCTATTGCCTGGGTGCTACACTTGTCCCTAATTTAAACATGGAACAAGTGAGTCTCAGACTTCCTCAAGGAGACGAAATGAGGGAGGGATTTAGACCTTCTCTGACATCAGGGTTCTAGTCCCTTCAACATCCCCAAGATCCAGCAATTAGTGGCCTAGGGCTATCCTGGAGTCATGTAGCCTACTCTCTGAGCTAGATTCTCCCTACTGGAACAAGTTTCTGCCCTGGCCAAGCCAGTACTGCATGGAAAGCAGTTCTGTTTAGGGGACTTCTTCCTGCTCCAACAGGGTGTGACATCCAACGCCTTTAACCTGTTTTTGTTGTTTGTGTCTTGGCTTTGCGGTACTAGGGATCAAACCTAGGATATTTCACATGCTAAGCAAGCTCTCTATCAATGGCTTGCATCTGCACACCCCAGGACCTGATAGTTAAGACCTAACACATTTCTTTCTGCCTCAGCCGGAGCCCCCAGGCTGACCCCGAGTCAGTGCCCATGGATGCAGGAGAGGGCCAACCAAAGCATGGCTCCCTGAAGGAGGGGAGAATGGCATGCACCGGTGAAGGTGAAAGGAGACAGGCTGGCTATTTAGGACCATCA